ACAGTTGTATCCCCTGAATAATTTTTCCTATATATATTATACATTAGAAAACTAAGCTAATTTACGCCCCCCCCCCTCCTCAAAAATGTCTGAAGACATTATTTATTTATTCATTTATTCATTTAATTTATTTATTTATTTGATTTTACTTTTTCCTTAACAAGAATTTCTGTTAGGTTATGTCCCCTGCAAACTGAAATTGGCTTGAATTAATAGTAAAATAAAATTCTACACAAGGCCGAGTGAGAGTAAAAGCAGAGAGGAGCTAGAATAATGGAAAGTCACTGTACCAAATCTGGAATCTATCATTTAACAGTCAGGTCAGTCACAAAATATACACAAAGTGGATAGAAAAGGACAGAAAACACTGAATGACTAAATATTTTTAAAGTTTATCAAGTTGTTTACCTACCTACATTTTTTGTACATTGCTATACATAATTATTGTTTTGCAATGACAAAACCAGTGCGGAGAAGTTAACATTCTAGCAACAAAAGTTCTGTATATATATCATTTATGCAAATGATGGATTATGAAATTCAAGTGTAATTCGTGAGAAGTTAGCTAATATATATCACCTTGAGCAATAGTTATCGTATTACCGTGAAACCGTCTGTTGCAATTTACTGAAATCATACGTCTTTACTGTAGAGTTGTAATTTATTACAAATTAATATCATGGTTGATGTCATGTAGATTGCAGCTTTTACACAAATATTTACATGCACTATGTTCTAATTTGTCTGCTTTCTATATTTAGTACATGTATATGTACTGAATGATGAGTTGCACATTGCTTTCTCCAATCACACAGGCGTGCTTACAACCTGAATATGAAATCATGAAACTTTGTAATTTCATATAAGGAAGAGCCCCCCATCCTCCCTACAACCCCCTCCTCCAGTCACCATTTCACTAATAAATTAGCATTATAAAAAAATATATGTAAACGTTCTTTTGATGCCCCCGTATCGAAGATTCGGGGGTATATAGTTTTTGCCCTGTCCGTCCGTCTGTCTGTCTGTCTGTCTGTTTATCTGTTTGTCTGCAAAAACTTTAACATTGCTCATAACTTTTGATTGAATGTAGCTATAGATTTCATATTTCACACGTGTATTCCTTGTGACAAGACCTTTCTTTGAGTACTATCATATTTGACCTTTTGACCATGACCTTGGAGTTTGACCCAGTTTTACAAAATTTTACCCAACTTTAACATTGGCCATAACTTTTGAACAGTTGGTGCAAGGGCTTTCATACTTCATGTATAATCCTTGTGACAAGACCTTTCTTTGGAGATCAATAACTTTGACTCTTTGGTGAAATCGAATTAATAAAGCTTTTGTTCATTATACTTACATTGTGTCATATCAATGTTGATTTATTAAAAAAGACGTTTCACGAGCATTTTTTACGATTCATTTTGTTGTTGTGTGTTTTTTAATCCCTTTAAGGTTGCAGTACCTTGATATTACACGCCCCCAAAGAATCTTAAAGTGAAACCGATTTTATTCGTTTTAATATAACCAGAAAGTAGATAAACAAAAGCGGAAGATTTCTGAGTATACAAACCTGCGTGAAAAATTGTTTGCTACAGCAAATAATTTACTGAATACTAATTTAACAGAACTATTTATAAAGCTTATCAGGTTTACGAAACAGGTGGTAAAATTGTCAAATTTATCACCGGCATGTCTATTTGACCTGTACAATGTAGGAGCATTTAGATGTTTTAAAAGCTTTATTTTTGAAAATGGTTTCCCATGTTAATGAATTCCCGGATCACATAACCTTATACCTGTTTCTGGTACCTTGGAATACATTGCTCGTGGCCCCCACCCTTTATTGTCCGCATTGCAAATCTCTTTGTTAAGACATTGCAAAAACTTAACGTGCATATTTTTATAGAGAACTCACCGACGTTATCTCTTCGCATAAGATATTTAATATATCAGAATTTCATTTACATAATTATGCCTTAGAATGGAGTGTAATGCGATCGATGAATATCTTCGTCATTTTAATTTGCTAGTAAAGTAAAGCTAAGTGAATTATCATCCTAAGTAACAGGAGATGGAAAGTATTTGGTGTATCGACATTCGATACGAGATTTTTCAGAAGTTGTGTCGAGTGGTGTCTGACACGAAATGTTGGATGTCACTTAAGATTTCTCGTACATACATATCATCTCCAAAAATTTCCTGCCTTTAGCAGCCCATATACTTAGTCCTTGCAATTTTTGCACATCTGCCATATACTACATGATTGACAATGGGACTATCCGTTGGTTTTGTCTGATATTCCTTACAAACATGCACAAAGCTAGCATGTCAACAAGTTTGGGATGCTTGATGAATTAGCTCACCTGAGCCAAAAAAAAGTCTTCTTACTCACATCTGACCAATTTTCTGCCAAACTCACCAAAGCATCGTTGAACGAAGAGAGTTTCAAATTCGTTAAATTTTTCCAAAAAAGAGGCGATTAAGTTATGGTGATAAAATAATTTTTTCTCTTAAGACTTCTGTTTGAAATGCTGGTCAATTATGGGCCACAATAGATGTACTTTTTATTCTTTAAAGAGTTACATTTACAAAATAGAATCGAGGCAAAAATACATTCTTCGTCCAGGTAAAAACACCCCCACCCCATCCCCAAATATCAAAACCCTGCAATATTTCATCGATACTTTGGACTTGATAAATGATTAGATTCACGCAGTATCACCCTATTGCATATTGTACTAACCAACAAAAAAGGGGGGTGCAAAAATTACAAGTTTTCGATCAAAGTGCGATGCTTACGATATCTCTCTATTTAACAGCAATGTCCAAGAGTTTAAACTGTAGATGAAGACGTTCTATTTTAAAACTTAGTGTATTCTATTTTAAAACAACATGTAGCGTCATCAGAAGATGTCCTAGCTATTGCATACTCTACGATAAAAGCTTTATTGCTTAACTTCTGCACAGTGTTAAATTAACAGACATAAGAGCGCAATCCTCAAAATGATTGTAGAAATCAGAACAATTTTTGTTGAAATTTTTTTTTAATAAAGAATGAATTTTAAGCGATTCTTTGAACTTTGTTTCCTCAAAATAAGTGACTGGTCTTACATGTATATAATGGGGAAAAAAGACTAGATAATGAATAGAACATGAACCTATAATATTAACACTACTGGATTCCTGAAAGAATTTATTCTTTGACATAAAATTTATAGAGCAAATTGCCGTAAACTATTTTGTTATTAAATTCATCTTTTAAAAGAAGTACTGTTGTCAATGGCCATGTCCCTCCTAATTTTCCTTGTTAGTGCCCCCCCCCCCCGACTAAATGTTTCGTTGTGCCCCCCCCCCACCCCCTCCTGAAATTATCTCCCAATGCAAAGAAAAAGCTCCATCAATGATATATATACATGTTACGTTGTTTTTTAGTGAGACAGTAGTCGTTTATGGGTATCTTGAAACAAACCCCAGCTGACAAGCCAGGAAGACGATCGACTGTCAACTCGTATCAATCTCGCGCCTAACCAAATCCCGAATTTCATTTCCTTCCTCACCCCTCCCAGGTTCAAATCAGTAAATATCAGAGAAAATAAATTATAATGTGTTGTGGCAAGACCCATTTTCTTTATCCCGTGTAATCAGTGGATAATGGGTCGTGAAGTCTGAAATCAGTCTGTGACCTAGTAAAATATCATATAGCACTTAAAAAGGTTACAAGCGTTTTGTTTTTAATGGCATAAGGTCAAAAATTATTTTATGAACAACCTCGCCCCACCCTTATGCAGTTATATCTGGTAAATGTCGTCGCACAATGTGCATGTACAAGAGCATCTGTTTTAAACAGGTATCCACAAATTTTTAATTTGAAGAAAATATTATAGTACGCAATATATTATCAATTGTTCAAATGTTTAGAATATATTCTCACTCTTAATCTGGAGAGGACATGATTAAGTCAGTTAATACATGTATCTTAAAGCTGTTAACGCTGTACAAGTAAATATTTTAATTTTGGAGCACTCAAATGTTTGCGTACTTTCCAGTCTTACCACAGTATAAGACCGTGCGATGATAGTGAGGATTAAGGTATATAATGCCACTAAAATATAGTCTGATGTTTCTTAAATTTCCTTATTCACAGTTAGCGCTAAAACATAGAGACGAGCAAATCGTACTCAACAGTCCGTGCAATGAACTCTGCACTCAAATCATTTAGAGCTGTTCTCGATGCCAAAAATGAGTTTGGAACCTAATTATTGCCGCAGAAACTGTACTTTTATGTCGACGTGATTAAAGTGTAAATGTTTGCACATAAAATTTAATGTAATGTCATTCAGTTCTATCATCGGAGATTGCTGTATTGAAGTTTAGTTTTCCTTACATATATATTTACTCAGATTTTATTTCTAACCTTCAAACTCCTCGTATTAAATCTGCTAAACACGCGGTTTTTCAGTGATAACTAATTGTTATTCAATAGAAAACAGACAATATAGGAGCACATTGTACAGAAGTACAACGTTTTCGCGTCAAGTGTTTACACGCCGCCTGCCAAGACCCCCCTGTTTTACTTGAAGAGAAATCGAAATGTGTTTCCAGTAAGATTTAGATTGTTTAAACTCGTTGCAGCACATTATATAAGCACAATATGTCTGCACCAGGAACGATTTCTGCGTACGTTTGGTAGGATCAAATGCTTATCTTCCGACAATAAAAAGCATATTTAAGTGTATATTATATACAGAGGAGCAGTGTGCACTATATAATAACAAGAAGAATGTACCACGCCTTGTCGGACGCAACGAACCATTTTGTTCTCATAACAAAAATGCGTTGTTTTACGACATGTTTTGAAATGTCTGACACAGTTAACTGATATTTTTTTCACAGGATTGGCACAAATATAAGATTTAACAGTAGCTGACAAGAACGTGAGCTGCTTGTCAGAAAAACTCGGGACACCAAAAAAGAGAAGAAAAAAAACTCTGTAAACATTGTTTTTATGGTTTATTATAGATAACAAAAAATAATAACATTATGAAGAATTTTTTGAAAGAATTGTAACATATGTCTGATTTTGCATCGATCAACGATGTTGAAAACTTTTAAAGAGGACATCCTAAGAAAAATTTAATATTATAAGAGTAAGTTTGCCAACAGGGTATTAAGTACACAAAGGTAAATGCTATAGAGATTGCGCTCTCCAAATCTTATAAATTATACAGAGTTTTCAGTAACATTGAATCTTACTATAGTTCAGTACAAACGAATTTAATACATTAGAAGTACAAGTAATTTGGTATCCTTTTTTACAAGTTAATGATCACATCCCAAAATATTAATATAAATAGTTTGAATAGTGTTTTTCTGTTCATATAAACATTCACTCAACATTCAATCAAATATTAGTTTACATTAACAAATATAGTTACTAATATCATATAAAAATATACAATATGTCGTCAGAAATGTCTGTTGGCAGTAGCTTTGTTTTATATTATAGTTGTATTTTCGCCCTAAATGCTGCATGTTAGTAGGAAGTATGCAATAAGTACTGCTACTGCATGCTATCTAACTTTTTTGCTACGAAATTTTGGGTCTCCTGATACAGAAGAGGGATTCAAAAGGGCGACAATTCAACTTTACTGTACTATACGAAACGGTGGAAACTGAGTCTAGTTGGAAGCGTTTGAAAAAGAAGTTTCTAATTAAGGATTGAAGTAATCCCTTATCATTTTAAAACAGCACGGCACTACACACCTATTTCAACTGAAGTCTAGTAGCCACTGTTTCGTAATTTTGGGGTTTATTGAAATGTGTCAATTTTCTATAATAAGATGTTTTGACTATATTCTGCTTATTTCTTTGGTGGATATTATGCCAAAACAATACCCTGAACATACATTGAAAACACAATCTCTCGGCATTCCCATTTTCAGTTCCATGAAGAAACACCGTACATATATATAATATAGTGGCAGAGTCTTTGATACTGATGCATGATTATTAAATTTCACAATTTCAAATCATGGAGAGTAAATATTAATGTCTTCAATGAAATAATGCTCTATGAATTAAAAAAAAAAATGATAAATGATAAATACTTTAGATGAATTTCGAACAGATTGTACCTATATTGTTAACAAAACATAAATTGTATACTTATTTAAGTTTACAAAGTTATAATTTAATATTACACTCTTGTCTCCACGATAGTTTCATGCTTTGATTCCATTAACTGTTTATTAATTATGTAGATTATATGACATGCTTAACAATGTTAATGTCCCTTGTACTTAAGTGTATGGGACAATAAAACACAAACACAACACATACATAGGGATATAAGATAATCGGAGTTCTAAGTCCAGTCCGATTTTTGCGTACACACTTAATACGTCATGACTGGCCATTCTCGAAAGAAGTCCTATACAGAAAACGTATATCACAATTCGTTTTTCTGGCGTCACGTGACTGCACGTGATTAATGAAAGTCTAGCTTTCAGTTTTTCATCAATGTATGTCTGCATGACATATTATTGTCTCGTGTAGCGTACTTGTTCCTACATGTAGTTTTTACACAATACTAAGTACGGATTTCACGACAAATTATTGAAGTCGTCGTCTTCATTTTGAAAACACATCACAGCAAACTAATCTGGTCAATAATTTGTCGATCTAGATATCTAAGAGAATATCATAATCCGACGTGGGATGTGAATAAAGAATCCATGGCAGCTTTTGATGACATCACACAATTCATACGCTTTGCACTATATATGTACGAAATACGAAAATGCGGCGAAAAGATTCACACTGCCTGGCACTTTTACCCGTTTTGTTTTGTTTCCTCTTAAATAAGATATGAGGAATGTGATAAATATGCAACAGTAAAAAAGACAATATACATATATATCACGCATACACAAGAACTTCACACAAAACAGCGCTAAATAGTCTGCTCCAGCTATTGTGGCTTCCCCACGCTTCCACAAGAACGTATCGGCCTCTCTGAGGTCTCACACATTGTACATGGATTTTTTGTGAATGTAAAGCACCATTTATTTTGGAAACATAACCACACATATTTCCAGATACACTAGACGCGTCAACTGCCTTTGACTTATTGTCTACGTATATCACCAATCTATCAAGATTGTTCAAATAATCCTTCATTGCTGAACCCTCTGAAAATGGTAAAAAAAAAAAAACTCAAAAAATTACTTTATTCAGTATATGCATTCTGTTGAGACATTCTGACCTTCTATACGTCTAAAGATAAGAATTATTAGTTTTACTATAGAATTTTTTTTAAAAGATTTATATATATACTTGTATCTAACTATGACTTTCTTAACATTTCCTTAAAAAAAAAAAAACAAACCCACTGACCTTTGACTTTCTTATCACCTGACCCTTGCCAAGTGTAAATAATGACACCGGACACAGAGGTTTTGGAACCAAGGTCCACTGTCCAGACCGGTGTGTCTCCGTATAGATTGTCCAGAATCGTACAGGAATGGAGGTCGAAATCAATTTTACCGTCCACTGCCCTATCTGGATGACCCCTCACTATTTTCTGTGTAATATGTCTTTTCTTAGGATTTTTGCCGTTAATCCAAGCTTCTTTCTTGTAAGCCAAGTTTTCCACTACATTTGATAAATAACAGTGTTAAATGTAATATATATAATTGATTTTCATCAGCAAGATACAGAAATTTCAAGTTTGTGGTGTATTTTCTTTTTAATCCCACGCAAAATATTTTCATTTCGTCTTGACTTACCACATGGGGTATCATCGTTGACACGCATGAATGATTCGCCACAATTTCCAGCTGAATAAGATGAAATACCGGGTAAGTAAAGTATGCAAAAAAAGGAGATATGTGCTGAAATTTACATTTTTATTAACAACAGCAGTATTTAAGAGCTTTGAAATTTGCACCTGTATGAGGACAGCCTAGGAGACCGGCCCGCATGCTGATTTTGCCGTTCCACTCCAGGGGATGAAATCGAACGAACCTCGCCACAAATGGCGAGTTAATGTAGTGAACTCGGGCAGTTTCTTTGTCACTATTACCACCGAAAAGCTACAAGAGCAAGAAGATGGTAATTAAATGCTGTAAAAGTAATTATACTGTAAAATTAATAAAAATATATAAACTTTTCGGTATATCCTATTTTTTGGTGTTTTGCAGTGCAAGCTACTTCCATTTTTACATGTACCATACTGCAATAAAACCATATCCAAGGCGGTATATAGGAGTGCGCAATATGTTAGACCTGCTTACCTTGCTGTTATACGAGTATTTTTTTTTTTAAAGATAAGTAAATTAAAAGAATTTATGCATAAAAATTACATGCAGTCCCAATATTCTTTCCTTTTTGCTTTAATAAATGTAAGCATTGTATATACTGGTGGTTAATCACTGGACATGTTAGATCTGGTTAATGCATTTTTCCTGTTAAATGATATATCAAAATGATTTGATCTTCAAAAAAAAAAAAAAACATTACAGGTGAACTTGCAAGTTAGTAATAAAACAAAACCTGGAAATAAAACTCTTTGTGCAAGTGCATGGTGTGCGCATGCGCATGCTGAAACACATAAAACATTATTCACACTTCTACCCAAATTACATTGAAAATATAATGCGTGATTCCTCAAACACCACATAATTTTTAAATGTCTCAATATGTTAAAAATGCAGCAGTTTCAATTGTTTTTCACATTACATGCAATAAATGATCAAGACAGTGGACTTGCATTGAAGAATCACTATATCCATATATACTGTAGTAACTGCAAAAGCTAGCTAGCCTGCGAACATCGCTAATGCAGAACCGACAAAGTTGCTCTTACATGTACAACGCATGTTGTATATACTTTGACCATTTCATGCCAGCTCTTTAATTAGCCATGCTGGATATCAAATTAAATTGATAACTTTGATCGTTTCTAAAAATGTTGCTAGCACAATCAGCTATATGCAAAGAAGATCTAGCAATCTAAGTCGCAACCATTAATTAGCTAACCTAATAATCCGCAACTGGGTTCTCTGCACTCGATTTTTGCGCAGCCGCTGAAAGACCTAGCGAACATATGCCTCGCAATCAAGAGCAGAGAACCATTCAAAATACTTTGCTCTGTGTCGCATTTCGCACAAAAGTGATTATTAGATTAGACTTGGTTGCTCGCTAGGACAGTTAAAACAGGAAGACAAGAAACAACGCCACCTTTCGGTTAGTTCTTACCAGGCCGTCGTCTGTATATATGTCAGGTATTAATTGCGCAACGGTTCTATTGAACAGTGGGTTCCATAACCATGGATTCTGAGGCTACAACAAAGAGGTTGTCAGGATATGATGAATAAATAATATAACCAAAATAAAGACAGAGACGATCTATACACACAGGAACTTTCATCGTAATATTTATATGAAAAAATAAATAATAATTTTTTTTCTTAGTGATATACATGTAAATGTTATCCGGTGTGTATACATCTGATAGGTGTTAAACTGAAAACTACAACAGTTTACCACTTTTAAAACCCATTGGAGGAAGAAATCGCAGTTATTATTTCAAGAAAATAGACTGAAGTTGCTTTTGAGTTTGTTACGCGCATGTCGCATTGCTCACTTCCGCTTTACTGTATTTTGATAATGAAGCAAAGCAGTTTACAAAGGAGATGTTACTCCGTGTTAATACCATACAGATGTACTCTGTATGAATTTCTGAAAGCCAGAGGGGTTTTCATTAAAATAAAAACATACACATTTAGGAAATTAGTTTTCCACAAAGGCCAGGGTGTATAAGTATGCAATGAAGGACATATATTTACACCAAAAGGTTGTAATATATTTACAAAAGCTGTGATAAACAAAAAATAATAAACAAATCCAAAACTTAAATCAGAAGCATTTGTGCGTGTGTCAACTCTAGGAGCCCTTTTTTCCTTGTCACTAAATGTCTGGAATTCCTCTTTGTGAAAGCATTGAATTCTTGAAACATTTTATAAGTATGGTTAATTAAACTCATTTCTTTCGCTCCAATCTCCCTTCCTTTCAGTTTCATTTAATCAAGGTTTGATATTCACTGTTTTTACGTAAGTTAATCTTTGAAAACCATAGTAGTTATCAAAAGCAAAATTGAAATGATATCATGACTCTTAGCATTAAAGAAGCACCAAACTTTAATTAAACTTCAAAACCACTAGTCAAAGATAAGAAAAGGGAACGGGGGGCTTACCCGGGGGTCAACGCTGTGGGCATCCTTGTATTGATACCACCTCTGGGTATCGTTACTGTACGAGATCTTGAATCTGGTCACCCAGTGTTTCTTTTTGCTATCGCCTCGCCCCTTTGTCAGTACACCAGTGATTAGAGTTGGCGGTCCCACATCAATTTGTAACCACTGATTAACTGTGAAAAGAAAAAAAAAAGAATAAATGAAAAATAGATTTTTTTTTAAATTCTTGTACATGGTTTTCACAATGATTTTTAATCAAGAGAACCAAAATTGATTTTTTAATATTTTAATGTTCTGATAGAAGGCCACATATTTGGTTCGGGGAAATATTTTTATTCACATTGTTGAAAGTTCACGTGAAGGTCTTGCCATTCAGACCGATGGGTTTCTTTAGCCAGTATAATGAACTCCTAAACCTCTCCATAACATTAAGGTATTACATTCCACATTCAACTAGCAGTTACACTGGTAAAACTAAGACTGGCCTACCATTCAAATGCCAGATTATATTACCACCAGATTCCTGAATATATCCTTTTCAAACTCACGGAATACAAATATTCTTGCTGACGAATATTTGAAAATGTATAAGAAGATAAAAAATATTGACGCTGAACAAAGCAATGATAATACATGTCAACGGTTAGGGACATTTATCATAGAAATCAGTCTCAGGGTGCTAGAAAATACAAGACCTCTTTTGAGGGACATTCGAATTTTAATGCGTCTCGTGTCGGACCACCACCTTGCATGGAATATGATTTTATCCTTCACTAAGCATCCGACATTCTATGGGCTATCAGACGATCTAAGATGGATCATTTCACCTTACACAATAGAAAATCGACATTCGAGGGCTGGCGAGTCACTAATACAATCTCCCCGTCACAAATGTATCGAAGCCGGATCAAAAAACCTCTGATTTCTGACCGAGTGGTCCTTTTAAACATAAGAATGATGTCGGTATTCCCGTCGCTGTGTTTCTGTCATTTTATCAAAGGGGGCAGAAAAAGACATGTAAAGTTCATAAAATTATCTATTTGGTGCCTAATTATTTTTCATATATGCAAGACCTATAAAAATACCACATGGCAAGAAAGAAATTCTGATTTTTGAAAGCTATTAATTTTCGATCTTAACAGTAAGAATGATGATTATTAATCATGAAAATTTATGAGCACCATTGTTCCTCTTGGCACACCATCCCTTCTTGCTTAGAATGTTTCCATCCTCGGGCTGACAGGAATCTTTTCTCTTGTTCTTCCCATTGGTTGAAGTTGTTATTCGACCATAAGGTGGCAGACCAATGCTTTCTTTGCATACTGTTTGAGAGATATTTCGTGTGTAAATTGCATATTTTTAAGGTATTTCAAACAATAAATAAATTTTGTGAACGTGACGAAGATGATTCTTACATTGACATCCTAAAATTTCGACACGCATGCTAGGGTGTCTGTGCCAGTGGACTGTGTGGAACTTGATGTAGCGAGCGATGATTGGTCGGTCCAGATAGGTGTGTTTCACGGAGTACGCGTCTGTGTTGCCTTCAAATACCTACAGCAAAAATGACATCTATTAAAAAGGTGAATTAAACTCCGTCTCAAATGCTCCAACTCAATTAATTTTCTCTGTAATGTGGTAGAGGCCTACAGGGACAAAGTGTCATAAATAAAAAATAAATGGCTAGAATAAACTGACTTGAATGAGTTACTTGTGGACTTTTAATTCGTCCTATTGTTTGTGAACGTAGAAATTGCCAGATCTCATTGATCATACTCCAATGTCCAGACGCTAGCGGGTTAAACATTGAAAATCATGTTCAATTCCGACTTTAATTTGTATCTGAGCGTGAAACCTATTCATCACATTTCAAGTATACAAAATCTCCTGGCATGCTTTTCTATTTGAAAATTACTATTTCGTTTGAGATACTCGTTCTACAAGAATTTCCAAGTTTTACATACTCTGTGATTGCCGTATTGGTCCGTGACGTAGAGCTCGTTATAATCGTCCATACTATAGGAAACCTTAAATGACGTCACCCACTCTTTGCCGTCACCTCTTCCTTGCGTCATCACACCAGTTACCTGCGGATGAAAGATATCAACGTTAATACTTTCAATATGACCATAACATAAAGAGACATGATTTAAGAACGAAAAAAAAGAGTTGTATAATTTAAGAACAAAAACAGATTAGTAGCTGATTTCATCACTTCATATGTGTTTGGTTTACCTTATAGTGTTTTGTGTGACTTGATTTCTGTATTTTGCGTTACATCAATGTTCAGGTTGTACTCAATATTTGACATTTGAAAGTACACAAGGTTAGCATGACACTGAAAATCAATTCCTGACTAGATTAAATGTTCGAGCTGATTAAAATGTGATGCCATGATTCCTAACGCTGCACCACGGTCACAAAGTGTATCAGGTGGCGAGTTAGCGAGGATGTGACACGAGGACACGCCCGTAAAAGTCGGGCATATGAGTGTATTAACTGCAGTAGATAGAAAGATTGTATGGCGTTCGGAAATAGAAAAGTGCCAATTTAAAAATAATTCTGGACTTAATAAAGCTCTTTACACGGCGCCTTTATGTCTTGAAGTATACTACATGTATATATGTAAATTTGGGTTTTATTACAATTTTACTTATCTTTAAATTGTGATATAATGAGCGGGTTTAACACCAGAAAAAACTTTGATGTAGTTCTTTTATATAATAGAGTCAACTAGTCGCGAAGGAATTTTATTCATATGTTGTATGCTTTCATAAATTCCAGGGCAAGTGAAGTGTAACCTCCATTCAAATGTGCATCGCTGTTCTGCCATATTTTTTCAAATACTTTTTAGACAGCTGATATTTTGATCACCTGTCATATATTCCTACGCCTGGTGCCATATATACCGCCTGGTGATTACGCGTCGGGTATTCGATTGTAAGTTGTGATAATTGCAATATGAAAGTATGCTTACATGTGAGTCTATTGATTATATATCAGGTGGAGGAAAATTAATGCCACCATTACTTATGATTGGGCAATAGTCAAAGTGTTTACTTCAGATAATTGTTGATTATCTCCCTTGTTTCCTCAGAGATCTGAGTGGGTTTTGGAATTGAACATCGTTATCACTAAAAGTGCCGCTGACGAATTTTAACCTGGCTTATTTCCACCTTAACATTATGCATATCAGAAAAGTCCCCAAATCTCTTTATAATGAAAGATATTTTGAATCAATTAAAAACTACGATTTTATGTGTCAGCTTTGAAACTTTATATATGCGCTAACGATAAGTTTTCAAACATAACAGACTTGAAAATAAGAAAAGAATGCCATACTTTCTCAAACAACTTATTTAAACAATGTGTTACAGTACGGCCTTGTACTGAAGAACCATATCTCTGTTATTGAAAATGTCAACAAAAGTTACATATACCGGGCAGCTGATACAGGATGATAATTCAATTATCAGTGTCAACAACGGTGGGCTGTTGGGGAAAGAGTTAGAGTAAGTGGAAGTACCCACACCCTTTGGTAGCTGAAGTGAAACAAACAAGATGTACCAATGATAAAACGCCAATACTGCTGGGGACATCACACTTGTTACGATGTTTAAAACGTGTTCGTTACAACTGAGTTATTTTGAAACATTTCTAGGTTTGCAACAGGGAGATTAACTTTATCGACCATTGTTATCGTTAGCTATCTGGACAATTGGTAGGATGTTATGAAAATCCAAGAGCAAATACACTGGACAAGATTAGAGAGACAACGATAATCGGACCTCTAATCAAATGCTAACAAAGAACACATCTCATAAACTTCATCGACTTGTAACATCAAAGTGCATCTATAGTCCCGGCTATCGGTCATTTTGACCCCTATATCTCTTTTCACTGTATGATTATCAAAATGCTCAGTGTCAAGAGTATTTTAATTACCAGGGCGTGTTCGTTTTTCTTGACTTTCGGCTAGGTAAACTTTGCACAAATGCAACGTAATCTGTCACGTATTTGTACGAGGTCTTATTTGCTATTAACTTAATCTTAAAAAACAGAGTTCAGTTAAAACGATTAAAGAAAGTCACTTTTTTCAAAATTTGGATTAAGCGGTTTAAGAATGCAATAGAGCTGGTGCTGAAGAAATGAATTCAAAATATGTTTTTCAGATAGAATAAAATCCCTCTTCTCTTTTCAAAACTGAAACTTAATTCATCCGTGATGTTTCGCTCTAACAATTAGACAAGTTCTAACGAGGCATCCTTACGCCTAGCGTTTTCACGGTCTCCTTCTTTTTTGAGACGATATTATAATAACAGATGTGCAATGTCATACCAGTGATACTTCGCGCTAGCTTTAAGGACAGAAATTCGCCCAATACAAAGAAAATAATTCATGGTAAATACCAAAAAATTCTTCCTTTGAAAAGAATTTTTGGGTGAGAATAAAAAGGAAAAATTTGGGTTCAAGAGGGTATTGGCAGTTTGTGTCGTTGAAAAAAGACTGATGAAAAACTTGAGAGTAAATATATTTATATTATGTGTGTAGAGATAGCAAATACATATTAAACTGGTCTAAAGAGTGTTAAAGCGACATATGCACTTCTATACAGACAGATACGACACGCTCTTTAATAATAAATGCACGTTCCGTAATTTACTGACAGATCTTAATGAAAGAAACTGAATTTTTGCATTAAACGACTACGTTAATTTGTTTACAATTATTTAAGAGAAAGGACTTTTTTAAATGAAATTCGCAAAAAAATATTTTTTGGTTAATTAAGAATATTTCTCCTTCACAAAGCACATGAACAACAATTAATTAATCTTATTTTGGGGCTGACAAAGTTTGGAAACAAAAATACTTCGACCATATCTTCTTGCAGTTTAGTTTACATCCGTACACAATGTATGTCACTTTTTTTACTGCTCATAATGTGGGCGTTAAACTGAAAACTTGATAACATTGCCAAAAGCAATGTAAAATTCTGCACATCATGGTTTAATTTATTCAACTTTTAGCTCATTAAACGTTTGTTAATTAAGGTATCTCACCCTAGCTGCTACTCCAAGATCGACTTTCAACCATTCGGATGACGACTTGTATTTGGCGCACCAGCCGTATTTATTTGGGAGATAAACTCGAGCGTATTTCTCTGCACACTTTTTATCCCATTCCAAAGGATACGTTGAAGAAGCAGTGATTTGCCAGTCCTGGATAGACCCCGTGATCATTCCCAGCGGGCCATTCGTCACACAAACTGAAAAAATGATTAAATTTAAAAAAGAAAACAGAAAGAAAAAAAAGTACACAAAAAATGTCCTTTGAATATTAGTTTAAAATTAAAAGATATACGCTGAAAAATAACATTTAGTATTATAATTATTATTAATATCGATATTTTTTTATTATTTTGAACAGCAGATGAGTTGTATATTTTGTGATAACTGAGAACAAGAATTCTGTCTGTTGTGTCCAATTATCAAGAAATTTGTGGTTAATATTTTTCTAACTGCTCAATTTTCCTTGGTAGCTCAAAGATTTGAAGCAGTTATATATGTTCAGAATATCCCTCTAATCGCAATATTGGAGATTTATTATTTAATTTACTATGATGTAAATGTAGCGCCTACTTATTTTTTTTCTCCATAAGGGAATAATAATATCTCTCTTAGTTTATATTGAATCAATTAGGTATAAATCTCGGTTATCTATTAAGGAGATTTATGAGTAGAAAATAATGGTGCCAATATTGTCAGTGTCACAAGAACGCTTCGGAAAAAAATGTTCTATTTCTTCCATTAGCGGTCTGACACTTGTCTATTACATGTGTTTTGTTGTAAATGTGTGTAAAACGTTCGTGTCAACAAGCATTGTGACATCGCCCTCAAAATCAGTACTTTTAGGCACAAATATTACCCCCCGAAAATAACGCCTTTTTCAAAATGTAATAGAGAAAAATGGAAGCATTCAGCATTCGGACAACTGATGTGAACAAACCGCGAAACGGTCATAAAAACAGGGTATCATCGAACAATTGTATGTCATTAACTTTTGCCCAAGAATAGAATTTTATTAACGGTTGCATAACGAAAAAACGCCTTCTAATTGAAATATCCCATACAATGGCCGCTGAAGTTTACTCATTCCAAGCTTTATAATCGCTAAAAGGATCCATTAACGCAATTTTATTAAATGCTAAATAGTTCTCAATACATGTTAAAATGTCGTTAAAAAGTGCCTGACGCAACAACGGTAATAAATTCTTAGGTCCTTAAGCAAAAGCAATGACATCTTAATATAACAATGTCTTCGTTAGAGTAATTCTGATTGATATAAATGCTACATAGAAAGAAATTTACGGAAATCTTTTTTCTTTAAATTTGATGATAAAGAAATTTGTTTTCTTTTCTTGTTAAAGCGGCATAGCTTTCAATTGGCTTTATCGTAACAGTTAATTAGAACTTTGGCAAGAACACAAACTAAGTTATTGCCTTAAAAACCCAACCAGCTCATAAAATAAGGGAAGGAAGTGTTAAACTGCAAAATAATTAGTTTTGGGAGGTATATACTTTCTACTTCTATATATCCTTCCTCTGAAAAGCTTACAAGAATCTGAATTTTGATATTTCCCAAATAAACAAAAATATTGTATAAATTGAATGTAGACGAAATTAATTTCAAAACCAGAAGTATTCCGTGCATAATTAGATAGAAGGAAAAAATTAGAAACGTAATTTCCCGATGTGTTTAGATATAAAACAAAGATCAAAAGTGAGGAGGACTAGCAGTTAATTCTGAGATGCGAGCACTTCATAGCGGAGATGATTCCTCGCCAATTTTCCCGTCAACTACTTAATACTCTGGAACTCTGTTTCAACACGCACAATGCATCATCTTTCCTCTGCAGAAATTGGGGGTTGTGTTCAAAACGAACAATGGTTCGTTTTTAATCGCCCAAACAGAGCAGAAAAATTAGTAACGCTCACTTGCCACATGTTATTAATTTTTAAACATTTTTGGTAGTTAAATGAAAAACAACCCAGACGCGCACAAAAAAAAAAAAAAAGCAGAAGGTAGTCAAATAAAAAGTAAAGGGGGTCAATAACTTTCATCTGATGGGGGTGGAGAATGACAGTTCTGAAGACGTGACCCAGGGAGGTATTTTTTACGATTCCTTCTAAATTCGTACAATATATAACGCAGGAGACACGGCGAGCAAGAGCGACTTAAAAGTTTATACATGCAATCAGCTGAAATTCAATTATCACTTTTTTTTCTTCAACAAGAAAATCTTTTTCACCTTTTCCCTCGCAAATGTAAACTTACTGGGAAGCATTATATCAGAATTGGGGGAAATTGAAGAAATTTTCTCCACAGGTGACGAGTAAAGTTCCGTTCTATGTCGTCCGCACACCGGCCCTTTAACGCATTCCTCAGGTAAGGAAACAGGTAAGTTGTAAGATCTTTACCTTGCAATATCACCTTGTGTGCCACACTGCTCTTGTGTTTTTCATCATTATAGTTTCTGTTTTTAAAAAAACCGTTTCCTTGCCGATTTTTTACCTTCATTTTTTGTTACGTTTTGTTGGGGTTATCACAAATGTATTCTTCCGCTAAAACAATATACTGCAGATTTACACCTAGGAAGTGACAGTTGTGTTGCTCAGATTTTATTTATGTTTTCATTTTATATTTGAACGTAACGTCTGAAGTACTTATTTTTTATGGCTAGATTTACACGTGTGTATTTTGACATACTTTTAAAGTTTTCCACTACCTGGAATAAAAGTTGCTTTGTTAATGGTTACGATGAACAATATGAATAGTCAATTATTATATATACAGATATTACTCATTTTGGCAAATGGAAATCACTTTTCTCGTGTCTAAAGAATTTAACATATCATTCATCAAGTGTTTCCTAAGCTGCTCTGCAAAATTGATGAATATTCAGGAGCACTGCAAGAATTCTGGCAGGTGAACTTTAGAAACGATGTACACTTATTGGATAAAAAACATAAACAATAATTGACGCAAGTCAGCACTTGACCCTAATATATTTTAGTAAACTTATATGCAGATCAGTACGAAGTTTTTTGTCTAACGGGTTGTGGCTCTTTGCGTTTTAAGATAAACTTCAATGCTTTTTACACTATCGGGATTTTTTTCTATTTGACTTTATAATTAGGCAATCTAGCTGATATTGTAGTGTAGTTATGCAAAGTTCACTTGAGGAGATCCATTTGAAGTTGATATTTCCTCTGGGTTTATTCATTTTCCTTCCTTTCAAACAACAAAAATGTTCTTTTCTTAAACATAAGTATCTACAATCATGTTGATTGTAGATACTTATGTTTAAAAAAGGAACATTTTTGTTCTTAAAACCACCAAGGTCTGAAAAACTTTACACGTCCTTAATTATCAATACCTAATTAGCTGATTTTGATGACGAGAAGAACGTGCCAAAAGTCAGATTTGTATAACTCATACTTATCTTTAAAGAAATCCTCAAATCAAAAACAAATGACTTTTCCCTTATTTATAGAAGTTATCTTTAGGATAAGAGTTTTATTAACACCTACAACTTCTTTTCCCGACCAAAAGCATTCATTAATATCTAAAACATGTCATATCTGAATTCAGGTGTTTTTAAAATGCACGATAGCAACACAAAATTTTCAAGTAATTAAAACTAAGAAGTACCAAAAAACAAGGTTAAATTTGTCGTATGTCAGGACTGTTTGAGACTAATTAACAGTTATGTTACGATTCAGATGTTAGCTTCTGAACCATTCTTCAAATAACGATACCAATCATGCTTACAATTTTGCAACAAAAAATTTTTCCCCATCAATTTAAAACTTCATAATTTTTCTTTTTTAAAAACAAAAATTATAAATTCAATTTCAGATTGATCTTTAAATGTTCCTTTTTTGCGCTACTTACCATTTCCATAACTTAATCCAAAAACACAAAATAAGGCAAGAGTTGTCAGTCGTGCTACAGCCATCTGTCCGAAAGATTTCACCGACATCAAAAGAAAATGGGATTTTTCTTTTTTTGGGAATATAAATCTATATCCAGCTGTATAGTTATCACATCCCAATCTAGAATTAATATATTATACAGACTCACATAAACTATTCCTGATACAACAAATATTTATCCTTCTATATTATGTTATGTCGAAAGCTTCTCTTTCCTCTTGATATGGTTTTCCGGTGAAAAACATTGAAATTCATAAAGTACCACCAATATTTCACATTTGTTTTTTATAAATCGCAATGATATTTTACAAGTATCATTCCAAGTTGCAGTAGTATATCAACGGTGTACTTTCTGTCACAAAGATAAATAAATTATGTATAGTCGAGTAAAAAAATCGCAGGTGACTTCGAAAAACACGACTATGCGCAAGATCGCTCTCAGGTAAACTAGACCCTATGTAAAGACGCAGCGTCACGGCTGGTGATTATGCAATGCTGATTTTGAACTACGGAAAACCCTCTTCACATCGCGCGAGACACCTCGAGAGTTTGTGGAGATAACTATTATAGTAAAAACTTCGTGTTTGAAATAGTTTGAATTACTTATCTCCTTTTTTCAAACAATTTTTTTAACAAATAGAAGGGGCGGGATTTTAAAGTCTTCTGATTTAAAGGTAAAATTGAATGTGGACTTGGTATATCCTTCACTGTCCCTTTGCTTTGTAACATAGGAGAACAAATTGCTGATAAATCAACACATTCATAATTTAACTAAGGTGTGTAGTTTTTTCCCCTCATATTTGAATAATACTACATTGTTAAACGCTGTCGTGAATTTTAATCTTAAGGTGATTAACGTTAATTAAAAATTAAACTTTACAAATAAATTACATGTCATGTTAAAAAATTATACTTGGCCAGCTTTCCGAAATTTGAGTGTCATTTACCTACCTAGCATTAATCTTCTGCTATGCATGTGTTTGCAATGGTAAGAAAATAATTTAAGGTTTGACTTTATGATTCATTTATACGTCTATAAACAATTATAATGAAAAATAAATCTCATTAAATTTCAAGCAATTAAGAATTAAAGCAGGACAAGTTCAAAATATACATGTATACTTTTTTTTACTAGGTGAAATTTTGAAAGCATTTAGTTTATTTGAGTTTCTGTCATATCTATTTTTACCCTTCACAAAATGATAAATGAATATCTTCCAAAAATTAAGATTACACTCGAAAGTTTGTTAGTCTTTTAGTCTCTTCAATCCCACTACGAATGTGAAACAGTATTATACAAGTACTTGTTAAAAAAAAGGTTTTAAAAAAGATTATAAATTCTATTTATCAGCGTCTATATACACGTGTTCTCTATTTTTAAAATTTTTCTATAGATAAATATATAAATTTATTGATTTTAACATAAAGTACATACAAGCACTCAATGATTAGGTAAACATTTATTGAAATTATCCTGTGCTTTTAAAGCAATCAACAAATTTAAATTCCTACCAATGCACTCACTGTACAAGCTAAAGCGCTTAAACGTACATCATGTCAAACAAGGTGATGTTCAATTTTTTACACATTTGTTTTATATATTTTTGATTTTTATTCTAATTCAGAAACATTGTCTTCCATTAATATTAACAGCGCAACAACAGCTGTTTATTAAATTTATTATTTTAACTTTCCTTAATAAAATATTATCATTAGTAAGAAGGTCCCCGATAAAACCTGCATTAACCATCAAAACAGAATATACAAGTATATACAGTGTAGTTGAATTTTGTTTAGTAGAACAAAGACTTGATTCAGATGACTCAGATTGTTTATTGAAGTAGAATTTTTGAAATTGAGTATTTAGCAGAATTCTTCTTATATACGGAAATAATTATGCAAGTACTTCCTGTTTTTTTTCTTTTCAGATAAATTATAAGTTATATCATCTAACTGCACACGCGCCGGGACTTACTTACTATCAGTATCCTCCACGCATTTATGGTATCCGTTTTTGGTTTTGTCTAATCATTTCCGGTCTCTTCAAAATTCTGTAAAAAAAATTTATAAACATAAACAACATTGTTTCTTAGCAACGGATTGGGTGCGGTCAGTATGAAGATGACTCCAGCATTCTTTGTTGAATTTGTTGGAATTAGATACTATTTCATCAAATATCTATTTTTGGCGTTGGTGTGAAAAGAGGACTGTCAAGGAAATTATTCAATCAATCACTTATATATGGAGCCGAAGAAACACCTTTCATTTGGCGAAATAGTTTTAACGGCCCGAAATAGTTGTAGAATCGGGCTATCAGATCAAATTGAAGACTTGAACATTTGATTACGTTTATTCTTCATATAAATTACCATAAAAAATTACATTTATCTTTCTAGGTACTCTTCAGGTTTCCTTTTTCAAAGTCATTGAAATGTTCTTGAAATTTATGGAATACCGATATTATAAAAGAAAAAAAAAACAGAATGTAAACACCTTTTGGTAAACTTATATGAAATCGAATAGACAGAGGTGTTTAAATAAATCTGAACTTTAAAGAGAATATTGTTGTATGTTGTATTATCATTCTTTTTTAAAGCGCAAAGAGCCGGGAAATTATAAAAGAAAAGTAGGCCTTCAATTTTTTTTAATTGACACCCACACTTCTGAAAAGTGCGTCTTGTATGTTACAATTTACAAAGGGCGTAGCTCAGTGAGGTATCTCACGCCCAAGCCCGCCAAAGCAGAACACGATCTCTAATATTCTAAAAGAAATAAATGATCTTTCAAATATAGTTCTAAGAAAGTGAAAAACAAATATTCAATTAGAAAGTAAGTAGAGTCATTGCTGTTTCGAGGTGTATTGTTATCAATTGTGCTGAGGACATAAGAGGTAAGTCTATTAATTAAGCGGTTTTAATAAGTAACTCGTACAATGAATGATCGATTAAGCTTATCCCGATGCTTGGAAATTTTACGTTATGCGATAATTCTGAAGATGGAAAAACTTTTTGACAATCAAAAGCCTTTTCCCCAAGGACTTCTTTCTTTTCCATTTTCTTTTTGTATGACATCAACTGCATTAAACAAACATTGAGTAAAATGGGCTTTAATCTTGTTTAAATAAGAGTTTCTGCATATCATTACACTTTAAAATAATTTCTCTCACGGGCATGAACATAAGAAAGCGCTTCTTATGTAAACTAAAAAAGTTCACGTATTTCAAAAATTCCTAGCATACCCCTGCACAAAGACTTCCAACTCTAAATCCCAAGGAAAAGGTTGTTAAGAGTGTTGTTCAAAGTAGACAACCCCGCCCCCTTGTATTGAATCGAAAAGAGAAGAAAACTGTAGGGTCAAAAACTGTTTGCGTTGTGAAAAAGGACTTTTTTTAAATCAGGGAAACTGCGTTCAGCGATTCTGGTAAATCGTTACTTCTAGTGTCTTGGCGGATTGCTAATAACTTTTTTTACGGAAATGATGAGGTTTAAAACATGCAAGAAAGCTTCCTTGAAATTATTCATAATCCAAAATTTTTTTACCTAAATCTATTACGATGAATCCATGAATGATGTATTTTGATTTCTTCTTTTCTATTTAAAACAAAACAGAAACGTGGGTGACTTCCTGACCACTTCGTGTCTTAGTGTCACCCACACAAACTTGTTACAGAGCAATAAACTATTGAAGACAATGAGCAGCCCAATCACCAATGAAAATTTAAATGTCTTTAATTTCCCTTTTGACCAATAATTTGTAACCACTATATAATTCCAATCAATTCTGAAATATTTTCTGCTAATTTTTTCGTGTCTATCTGATTAGTAAACCATAGGAAGCCTTAACTAAACATTTGATGATAAAACGAAGGGTGAGATAAATCTCAGGGCTTACTCTTTGATTGTACAGCAGTGACCACTTCCTGATATTGGGTACTGGTCAATCTTTTGTACACTTTTTAAGTAAATTAAATATCTTTTGACTTTGTGACATTAGGGGATGGTTCCTTAATTGAAGTCAATTATAGGATTAACATGAGTGACAATTTCTTGCCCAAATTTCTTTTCATTTAGTACTCTTTCCATAGAATAAAAGAACTTAGGAGATTCATTTACAGGAATGCAGTACACAGTACACACATGTACAAAAGGTTATGGTTTGAGTCATGTATATATAGGACCTAAGCACTATTGTATCGGTCTTTTATTTCAAATATAGCCTTTTACTCTAGTTTGCAGACTGTTATTTTAATGGTAATTAACTATTGTTAATACTTCAATCTGGACATGTGTTTTACTGTTTTACCTTTTTAGCTACATTCGCCAATGCAAAACTGAACTGTCGCAAACGTGTGAGCAACACCTAACATTACCAAAGTTTTTATCCAGTTGACCAAATCAATTTTTAGTCAGAATTACTCATGCATTTTTTCATTACGTCAGTTTTCGATAACTAATATGATTGTCATACAGGATGCGTGATCAACAGATATCAAAGTGACAATGGTTTGAACAGTGCTTGACAGAGCAGACACTCATTCTACAGGTTCCCCTACAAAGGTCAAAGCAAAGACAAAAAAATATTCTGTCATTGGCAAAAGTGACTATGAACATGCAACCCTTTTGCTTTTTTATTATTATTTTTTTAAACTAAGCTTTGTTTTTTTCCAATGAAAATTACTTCTAACGGAATGAGGTGTAATTAAATTATTGTTTTACTTGTCTGTAGAAAAAAAAAATCACACCTATATTTATCCCTTAATTATACAAAAAATATCATTAATTGAATCAAAGATAGTGTAAAAACAAAAATTACATAGCATCTCAAATAAAGGCTATGAATCAAAACTATAGGAAAATAATACAAAGGTCCGTATTCCCTTGCAAGAATTCAGCTGCTTCATAATTACATCAAAGAAAAGTGTAAGCATGCATGTATATTTAGCATTTAAAATTAAAACATGTTAGCTACGTAAATACATTCAAGATAACTAATTACTTTACAGTAATGGATAAAGGGGGAGAATTTTTGCGCGCAAAGACCCACTCTACAGACACGGAATCTGCTGGGATTAGTTCTGGCAGACCGGCAGGAGATGGGATGCTATTTGTTCATCTCCAGAAATTACACACACCTGTTATCAGTTAAGTAAAGATGCTTAATTGAAAGTGAAGTTTATATTTAACTATTTGTAAAGAAGCTGTTTAAACAGGGGTTTTATTTTAACGAAATCCGTTACAAAGATGCCCATAAAATCTCGACAAAATAATGCAGAGGGGGCTGACGCACGCGAACACAATTGTTCGGTACAAGCAGTTAAATCTCTCTTTCTCAAAGAAAATATCATTAACCCGACCACCAAAAAATACGGCAACTGATTTACCAAATAATGCAAGAAAAAACAAGCAAATCTAGTGGTTCGTTTATAATGATGAATAAGAACAAGATTTTTCTCGCCCGAGTCTTATGAG